GCAGGAATAACCACAAGCATCAAGGCGTAAATATTGCAGTTTGGCGTTTACCAAACGTACCCAGATTTAATTTCACATTTAATATCAGCAAGTCATACTTTACGCACAGAAATACTACCTGCCTGACTTGAAGACCAGCTGACCGTTGAGAGAAATGTGGCGGTTCTTTGATTATGGTCTTCAGCAGCTTCACTTGCTGAAATTTGCAGTTTAAATGATAAGTGACACCCATCCCCCCTCTGCCCCCACAGCTCACTGATAATTTTGTGCTTATGTTGTGTCAATATTGATGTCTGTATTCCATTCTGCTGTGTCCTGGTGTTTAATGTGGTAGGCTACACGTAGTTCATTTGCGCCATTCCTTCTTGTTCATCAGCCTTTTATAAAACTTGAGGCTCATGCTTTGGTGACACAGTGGAGTGCTTTTTTGGGTTGGTGTATGCAGTTTTTATCCATGGCAACTTTATCTAGTGGTATAGGAGTGAGTCCTCTGTTTTTTTGTAGTTGTCAAGAATTGAAATGTAAATGTTTAAATGCGGGACTTGTAATCTGTAGGTTTTAGAAGGGTCTTCTAAGTCAAGGATCAGAAACCTTCTTTCACCACAACACAAAGTTAAGTTGAAACTACCTTTACTCCACTATGAGCAGGCAAACAGGAGTGACAGTCTTAATAGGACAATGAAAACTGTAGGGACTGAACACTGTACACAACACACAGACAACAATGCCGACTAACCAAGCAAGCTTACAACAAAATGTGATAGATGTCACTCACATTCAGGAACCTGTGTCACTGTGCCTACTTTATCCACAGTGTATCTCCATAAAAAAAACCTTTAAGTTCAGTAAGAGGACACAGTGGGGTTACAGCATGTTACTGTACATTTCACTGCAGTAACTTACAGCATTGCTTGTGTTACTATTTGCATATCCCTATAGCGCTTTGTAATAATGTACATGTTTAATGGAGTCCCTCAAGGGCCGTAGTAGGAAATTTGAAAATAACTTTTTCTATTGTAATAGTTTTGTTTTTCCTGTGGAAAAACTCTGCATTCTGCTGCAAAACATTTTCCCCAGAGCTGTCCGATGATGCCATCTTTGTGCAATTTCATCAGTGTAAGTCAAAATCCCTGTGGTCCTGTCACAGAAACTGTCATGTTTAAAATATAGGCTGTCACCAGATTACATTCTCTAGGTCCCTGTGCTCCATTTACATGCTTAACACTGCTGTTTAATCATTGGCTGGTAGTGAACATTGGTTAGTCTGAGGTGGAGCTGCCCAGTCTGTTGTGCTGCTGATTTCTGTTTGGGTAGAACAGCTTTTTCTTCTGCATTGACAATGTGTTACAGCAGAAATGATCACTGATTAATCTGCAACTATTATAAAAACCAAAGAATCCTTTAATTTTTTTGACTGTCAGAAGTTACTAAATTAAATATTTTATTAAAAAAAAAATTTATTGTTGGGCAAATATAACAATTTAAAAATGTTATTGGGCTCAGGGAAACTGTAATAGGCTTTAAAAATGTGCTAACACTATAGGCCAAATGATCGATCGATTGAGACAATAATGGACGGGTTAATTTTGTACAGTTATTTTAGATGTACTTGTGTCCCTGATGGAGTAGCGGCTAGAATTCAGCGCTCTTGCCACTGCGCCCCAGGTTTGATTCAGGGTTGCATCAGGAATGGCACCCGGCGTAAAACGTGTGCCAGAATTCACCATGAGAGTTGTCAGTGTGATGATTTGTTGTGGTGACCACTCACTGGAACAGCCAAAAGTGAAATATTATTTTAGATGTACCAGTATATTATCTTTTTTTTGAAAAGGAATAATTACAATGCATATTGCCAAATCTGCAACTATGTAAGCATGTGAACATGCAATAAGTGATTTCTGTTATACTTGGACTTGGGGTTGGGCAATTTGACAAAACTATGGCAATATAAATCAACGAGCAGGACATGTTTTTGTGATTTGTCACTAGACAGGCGTTCTTTTTTTTTCTTAGTCTGAAATACAATGCACATTGTTAGACGTGTGGAATTATCCTTCATGGTTTTATACAGGTGCCACTAGTACATGTCACTGTGTGTATGAACTGTAGTGAATGTTAAAACAAATACAAAAAACTAGTGGAATCTTTTTTTTTTTTTAATGTTGGCTTTTAAACACATTTCCATATATTACTTATTGTTTGTGAATAATTAAATTCATGCGAATGTATAACATCTGGAAAAGCCAAGGTGACTTTCAGGATTAAAAAGGTGCCCATACGGTCTATCCACCCCAAAACCATGGTGCTCAGGTTGCTTCTTGGTCAGAATGGTGCCACAATTAGTTGAAAGGCCCTGCCCTAGACACCTATTTGTTTAGGGCAGGGGACTAGCGGACTCTTGACAGATAAGAGGGTGGGTTCTCATCTGACATGGAATGGGAGACCTAAATATACCAAGGCCTTGTCGAGTAAAACAACACATTGTGGCCGTGAGGCAATCAAATGCCGATATGATGCAGAGGTGACGGCACAGAACACCTCCTCATGTCAAAGTCCCCCGCTGCTAGTTTTCCCCCATTTGTGTTGTGCTGTGTCACTCAGACTGCTGTCATCCCATGACATGTTTGAATGACGTTTTTATCAATCTCAGCGGCTGAGGGTGACACTTTAATCAATAGAATAAGTTTTCCTGGAGATTTTCATTATTTTAAATTTGGAGAACCTGGTCAGGGAGGAAGAGAGTGGCTCGGGAGAGCAGGCAATTGGGAAGGGTTGCTGTGGGCTTATAGCTGTTGAGCTATGCTGTACATAAGCACAGGAATAGAGAGGCTTCTGCAGTATTAGTCCTGAACCAAGTGGGAGAGAACTGGCAATGAGCACAGGCTGCTGGACTGACAATCTGTCAGTGCCACGGTGGCCGTCTCAGATATATAGACTTGGCTCTGTTGGAGTGTAAATGTTAAATATGACTGGTTGAAAGGACCAGTGAACCACACCACACAGATGCCAGAGTGCGATCATGCCAAATAAGGTAGTCCTCACTAAAATGTCAATAGCTCTACACAGGACCAAGAGTCCACTGAGTCAAGC